ATAGGCACCCTAGCTTAATTAATAAAATTCATCCACACTAGATAGAGGATTGTGATGTAATGGACAGGCACCCTAGCTTAATTAATAAAACTCATCCACACTAGATAGAGGATTGCGGTGTAATAGATAGGCACCCTAGCTTAATTAATAAAACTCATACACACTGGATAGAGGATTGTGATTTAATGGACAGGCACCCTAGCTTAATTAATAAAACTCATCCACACTAGATAGAGGATTGTGGTGTAATAGACAGGCACCCTAGCTTAATTAATAAAACATCCACACTAGATAGAGGATTGTGGTGTAATGGACAGGCACCCTAACTGAGTTAATAAAACTCAGTAACACTAGGTAGATGATTGTGGTGTAATGGACAGGCACCCTAGCTGAATAAATATAACTCATTCACACTAGATAGAGGATTGTGGTGTAATGGAGAGGCACCCTAGCTGAATTAATATAACTCATTCACACTAGATAAAGGATTGCGGTAGAATGGACAGGCTCCCTAGCTGAATTAATAAAACTCATCCACATTAGATAGAGAATTGTGGCGTAATAGACAGGCTCCCTAGCTTAATTAATAAAACTCATACACACTAGATAGAGGATTGTGGCGTAATAGACAGGCACCCTAGCTGAATTAATAAAATTCATCCACATTAGATAGAGGATTGTTGCGTAACAGACAGGCATCCTAGTTTAATTAATAAAACTCCTTCACATAAAATTATGGTGTAATAGACTGACACTCCATGAAGATGGACATGCTTTGTTAGTCATCGGGTTTCTTAGATTAAATATGGCGCGAAAACCGGAGATCGTCTGGGGATAATACTTGTTCGTACATATCCATGCAAATCAACTGAGGTTTAACCCATCTGCAAGCAACATTTTAGGTTATTGCTGAAACTATATGCACCTACATTATTCTCATGCTGAAACAATGTTGCAACGTGTCGTGCGGCCAATAATGTAATGTAATGCATTTCGTAACACATTACGTTCACGGGAATTTGTGTATAAGCACTCCAAACAATGGCAACATTTTTACCATACAAGCCCAAAAATTAGGCGATTAATTCTCCCCGCGAAATAATCCCTTTTTTACGCTGAATAGTATAATATATCTTGATAGCTAAACGATTGTCGGGGTGTGCATTGGGTCCACGATTTTGTTTTTGTTTAAACATAGTTTAAACAAGTAGCGATGGGTTTATAGTGAGTGAGTATTATACTTGACTTGACACAGGAGCCATTTAACGTTACTAGATGTATGTGTCAATATAAACTACATATGTTATACATGTATAATAAAAAGTCATCGTCTATCAAATTAATAAAAGGCAATTTACTAGATAGTGCATTCATCTGAAATGCTACGTCATGGCGAATATTGGATGGAATGAGACGAGCATTTGGTGTACAGATATTTGGGCTATCGTACGAAACAATACTTACGTAGATAATGTGGCTCGACGATCGTTGTGTGTTCACCGAGAGGATGAAACCGAAGCCATTGTCCTGCCGTATAAAATCTGTTCCGTAATCAGCATATGCATGTGCGAATGTCGACCAATTAATAATCCGCGTTGATTTAGGAAATCCGCTTTGGTAGGGCAAATTGTTGGTTGTGTATTCCAGTTTAACTGTTTGTCATGTGAAATTGTCACATTGCGAACAGTGCATCCAACGACATTTGACTGACGTATATTTATCTTCACTTACACTTCTAGGTGGCGCTATTTCTAGATCCGGTTGTTAAGTTGTTCACTTAAAGGTGACACTGAACTTCACCTGCGATTATCACTCTAATTACTGTCCTTCGTAAGAAAAAATACTGTTCTTATAAACGTTTTTAAACTATCACGATTCCGTAGTTTTGACACTGACAAATGGTTCCGTCCGGCCTAGATAATTGTTACGCGTTACGACGCCTCATCGTCCGAATCGCACGGTTTGTTGGTGCCGACTCCACCAACCCGTGGTAAACGCGTATTTTATGTTAAACAAATAGCCAAGTTTGATTGGACACGCCTGTTGAAAAGGCGCCCAATCAGACGCTGTGTAACATTGCCCAGTAAGATAAGGAACAAAATGTCAGAAATGGCACCGTGAAGCACGCTTACTTCGAAATTCCTCTAGTAACCGTGCAAAGTGTGTTTAGGTTGTTTTCCAAACCCAATTTTTTCATCCAGTTTTCCACAATTGTTTATGCCAACGTTGCAGACTGTTTGTGGCATACTTCGTCAGCAAAATGACAAATATTTATGTCGACCATATTTTAATTAAGTAATGAAACTGTCAACTCTGAAAGAAAATCTCAGAAACTCTACTCGACTGATCATTCAAGAGTTGAATTGTTGCACAATTTTCGTGATTTGTCTCCCTGTTCTCGTTGCAACAAACTCGTCTTTTTCAGCTAGTAATGCCTGAATTGCATGGTTTTGGTGATCGGTGAGGCTTTTTATCTTGAAAATCTGTTCTGCCTGGGTCACCATTTAAAACAAAAACTCTCTACTGTATTTTGATACAAGATAGCTGATTGGCTGTTTATTTTTGTCGCATCTCCCTCCTTGTTGTTTAGGGCGCCTATTAAATACACACTTAGTGATTAGATGCCTGGGTTAGTTTGGAGGAGTGACTCGAAACAACTTGAAACGTTCCTTAGCTGGCGACTCGAAGATGCGACGCCTCAGGCAATTCGAATATTACAGGACGTCACGAACTATGGAAACTAAGTATTAAATGGCACAAGCTGAACCGCTAGGTATAAAATACTTGTCGACAGTATAATTGATGCATTACCAATAATGACGTCAGTTCCAGGTTATCAATGATCACGTTCGTCTGTTGGCATTTTAAAACCTCTAGCGCTCTGTGGTGTGGTATAATAAGACCATATTGTTTTGAACTGCATTCTAAATTGTGACGGAACTACCCACAAATATACACAGTGCAATGACATTGCTTTCTCGCATCTTTGTCAATTTCTCGTCAAAGAAGCGCTTCATAGAGGGCGCGACTTTGTGGAAAGCCGTAAACTGAGAGAATAAAAATCCAGTTCTTTGGTCATAATGGCGGATACTCATGGATCACTACGTATGTTACTACCGTTGCTGCGGTGGCATCATTCACTCTAATATGCATATGTTTCTGTAGCCATATAAATTGAACTCATGTATGACATCGTTGCACTGGTTCGGCTAGATGACTCATGTTACTGTTTATTATACGTTAAGATTCTGTTCTCGGTAAATAAGAAACAATCTGTGTCACAAAATATCATCTTTGTTCATAAACATATGTTCGGTTATAGTCGTTTGTGCAAATGTCCAAAGTTATTATTATTATTAATTGGTGTATTGACTTTGAAGAGAGTGAGTAAGCTATAAAAATCCGCTGAAATTCAATGCAACTATAATATTCTGACAATATAATGTTGAATCAAACTTTAGTTCTAAATGCACAGCAGTCAGTTACCAGGCGAGAGTGTGATTTTATAAAACGCGATCAATTTGTCGTTGTCGCAACTATGCAGGAGCAATCCTTGTATTATGACAAACACATTTCGGATTATTTAGAAGAATTGCGCCACCATTGTGTATAAAATGTGTTTCTTTCCTTTTTAGACTCTTCATCCTCGCCGGGAGTCTGAGCTAACGTTTGTTCAACATCACCCTGGCTCATACATTCCGTCGTCATGGCATGGAACAAAAAAATGAAATATACATCATCATTCATTTTTGTTTTATTCTGTATAACAACGAATAAACATAATCAACATTAATTAATTATTTAACTCATTAAGAATTAAGGCGCGGGACAATCTAAATCGTGCATCAGATAACGGGGCCTCGGGGGAGTATTGGCATGATGATGGTGCGCACTAATTAGCCGTAATGTATTTCATCATTTCCAATTAAAATTAGAGGATTCACTGTTCAAAGTTATATGAATGATCATCGTAACTTGACGTGAGAGTACATGTTTATTTATAAAGACACGTGACCTAGCTATGTCGATTTCACCTAAAGTCGAAGGGTGCTGTCAGGTAACAACACGACTGAGACGTACGCATTTCTAACAAAACATATTGTTGTCACCTATTCTATTCCATGTTGCTTTCGCTAGTTATCTTATATTTAAGTGTCTCTCCTGTCAAAAGTTTGGAGACCACAGTAATCCTGTCCTCTGTGTTGTCGAGTCTTCATTCACATCATGATTACTCCGCTTATTGTGCATAGCGCCCCCAAACGACGTATAGAACCGAAATATATTTATGTGTACAACTTGAGGGCACCGTTCTTTCAATTTTCATTAAAAAAAATTGTTATATTGTCTTGTAGCCATCAAAACGAGATAATAGAACAACTAATTTGGAAAATAAGCTTTCGAATATAGGAAAGTCATTTTTTCTATATATGAATTATTTTATTCCGCCATACTGAGATATACATGTTACCATTATCTCAATAATAAGTTGCAATGAACCATTTTATCGTTCAAGAGTGTTCTGTTACCGTAGTTACGGTGTCAACGTACCATTCAAATATGCTGCATATGCCACACGTTTTGTATTTAAAGCGTCATGGCTGTTTAACTTTAAAACTAGAACAGCCGTGATATTGAAAAAACACATTACGTGAAACGATTGTCTGATAACAAGAACTTGAAGTAGTGAGATACTGACTGCATAATGTATCTGAGAATGTTCAGCTGCATCGGACGTTCACTGGAAACATATATAGCAGTATCCTGGATTTTTGAGAACACTCCGTTTGCATGTTCCATGACAAATTACAAGTCTGTATACACGTTTCTTTCAAAATTTCACTTATAAACTGCGACTTTGTCTCTATTCAAGTTGGTTAAAGAGTTTCGTTAGCTCGTCTTTGTGTAGTTACATTGTTCAAACAAATTACATAAAGGTCCACACTGCGCTCACAAAAAATGGTGTCTCATTCGACGAAGAATGTCAACAAGAACCGTGTAGGTTACCACGGTATCTGGCAAACGCTGACTAATACAGTACTCACAGTCCCAATGACGTAAATAAGGAGACACAGTCGGTCCATCACTCTTGCCATTCGCTTCCATTCGGTTTTAGCCCTCTCTATAATCTTTTGGCGATCATGCACGGCTGTCATGACTCGGAGCTCCCTAAGTACCATCCTTAGAAGTATCACCTGCTCCTTGTCGTCTTTGTTCATACCACAGTCGTTAATCGAAGGGTAGCCGCCGTCCGCGTGCATGTGGTAGGCCCGTCGTAGCGACGGTAGCGGCGAACCGTCTAATAATCTGTCGCGTGGATCCAATACATTAACCGTCGAAGTACCTCCATGATGAGAGTTACAGTTAACCTCTATTAAGGGCACAGATTCGGGCGATGATCTGTCAGTTTTGCATTCATCTTTGACATTGACGTTGAGTATCCATGCCAAGTATCCTGTGATAAACTTATTTGCCCACTTAGGTACGGGACCACTGTCTCTGTCTGGGCCTCTGTAGTAAATATTTACAACCAGCACATTCATACCCAGTGATATAGATATGAGTATCATTGTCGATGCATAGTATTGCCCTGTAAAGTGAACAAAACGTTACAATGAGGTGGTTTTAAAACGCCGTAGTCGGTGTGCCGCATCGTGAACTCCCACGCGACGAACACAACGCGCGTAAAATATATTTCACACGTGCTCAGCGTGATGAATGTTGCGATTCAGTCATACTCGTAGATAATTGTTAACCTTTTGACCGCCATGATTTTTTTCAAGTTAGTATTTGGTGTAAAATTTGCAAAATGTTACGTGTTATTTCATTACCAAATCGGGATGATCGTCACCTGCGCACGCGCGGGAATTAAGTCCCAAGCGGCGATAACAACATACGCTAAAAGCGCAAAGGCTCGTGGGTAGTTTGTGAACAATGACACGCTATGACCATCTGACGCATGCGCAGGTGACGACTTCCTCGCTTTAATTTATTTATTTATGTATTTATTTGAGTTAAATGCAAATGATTTTATATTAGCCATTGATCTTCGAAGAAAATCTTTGAAAAGTTTAGAAAAATATAATATATAATAATTTATTCCAGGATATTTGATTTTAAAACTCTGCAGACTTATTTTGTGACAGGTGACAGATAAACTTTAATATTACAAGTTAGGATTTACCGTCAATTAACAACGTTCTGTGCATCGTACATATTTGTTCGATAAAACCTTGGACTACGCATGGGTCTGTGATGCGCATGCCCATTAATGTTTTATTAATTTATCCTACGAATCCTACTTTAACACGTGTGCGATCGAAACATCATGTTTAGTGTACAGAGAGTCAGAATCAAATGTACACGAACACTTTGGGAATTTTGAACAAAATACCATATAGCATCTTTAATACACCTCCCAAAGAGAACGCCCTCCGATGACCATTTCGATGAAAGTAATTTCTACTAGAAAATATTAGTCATATGCATCGAAAATCTTGTTCCTTTACAATAGATTGCAGGTGTTGTTTTTTTTAATGTGTTTGTTTATTTCCCCGCATAACTGACTGTTTAACTACTTCCCTTTCGTCATAAACAGAACTGGTTATAACGATTGTTAATCCACGATCAATCTGGGTGTCTGGAACTTGTGGAGAGGATATGATTAAGACTAAACCTCGCAAATCGATTAATCAATATTCAGCAAATGCAGAGGGAGTATGATTGGGATGTGAACATCAGTGCGTAGTACAAAGTGATATCTACAAAATATTTTCCGATAAAGTATAGATTATTTTTTAATCTGCCTCCAGGCTGTAATCTTCACTAAGAAATTCGTTAATTTCACCATAGACCTTCTACGATTTTACTCAGAAAACGGCTAAACGTCGTATGATTACAGTGAGTGTGTTCGTTTTGGTCGCATTGTATTCTCAAGAACTTGAGCGTGGATATCCCGAACACCGTAACAGGATACATGGTCGATAGTTTGTGATAATATCATTAGCAATTATATTAATAGTGTGTGGCTCGAAAAATACTTCGTACAAGTGGCACTGAGGGTGGGAGTAACTTGTTGCGGAAATGTAATAGTAAGTGTGTGCGGTAACGTATCACTGTCCCGGGTGTGCCATCCACGGGTGACCTAATGCATGATTCAAGTTCGCTTCGCCGCCAAATAAACACACGAGGTAAAACCGTAACCCGTAATATGTCATAAGCTTCTTGTAGTCTTATGTGGCCACAGTACATTTAGCCTGACGAGGTTGTGTGAGTTGCGCTCTCCGCGGTGCTCCAAACCCTAGTAAGGCCTGATGCCGTTCGGCCGGTGAGGGCCTACTCACGCCTACATGTCAGGCTACAGGGCATTCAGATCAATTAAAAGATCAAGAATGGTTAGACGACAAGTGCCGGAATACTTGAGGCACATTGCCTATTGAGTTTGAATAAAACATATCGCCTCATGTATATATTTTACCTGCGTCAATGTCTGCTGTATGACGTATACCTTAAAACCGTACTCACCTATGATCGGCACTTCGTCTGCCGCTGGCATTACTTCGGCGACCAGAAGAAGGAAAACTGTTAGCGACAACAATACAGTGACGCCCAGGCTGATTTTACCCTGTGACTCGGCAGGTAGAAAGAATGTCAAGACAGTCATTAGTGATATCAGCGTACACGGCATTAGAAGATTGAACACATAAAATAGACTACGCCTCTGAAAATCTATTGTGAATGTCACATCGGTGTACGGGATACCCGGCGTATCTGGGTAATATTCTACGTTGTTTTCTGCATGGAGACCGTGAAGATCCCATTCACCGTTCGTTACGAACGCAGATGTGTCTCCTATAAGAGAAAAAAATATGGTAGGTGCGTTAATAGTTGTGTTTTTTTCTAGATGGGCCTAGGACATGTAAATCATATCTTGACGACGTTGTTCACACTTTCAGAACTACTTCGACCAGTGTCAAATAATTACTTTTATTTTTAGTAACATATTCACCGTATCCAGGGCACAGGCATGATTTATACTATCTTACATAGTAAAAAGCATGAAGAGAAATACTAAAAGAGATCGGGATAGTTATTGGAACACCATATATTTTACTTTGGAGTAACCTGCTATTACGACCAATGGCAGGTAGTATAGCGGTAAACTCTCTCAATTTGACGTCGCGGTGACCGATGAGGGCGCATAACATGTGTACCTACCTGATCCGTTAAGAGCTACTTCCGTGCCGTCGTGTTGCCAAGTTCCAAACTTCATAACACATTGTTGTCTATCAAACGGGAAGTACCTAGTGTCTATCCGGCAATGGCCGCTGAATATGACAGGTGCGGACCAGATGATCTCACCAGTATAATATATTACACATATGGCATTCTCCAGGAAGTTTTCATACTTATTCGCAGCACTGCGTGAAAAATGAAACAAACGCCCTCAAGTGAATGTTAAACTCCATTACATCACTATATATAGTTGGCTGGTTCCCGCCTCAAGTGTCATGGCGTACCAAGTCACACGAGGCCGGCTAGTGTTGACCACGAACCGAAGTTAAGTGGATAATACAGCCCATGGTGCTGTAAGACTTCATGGCTATGTTTTTCATGTTTAAATGTTACCATGTACATTAATAATTTTGATAATCAAATTAAATATTTGTTGAAAAATGTCAACAGAGGGCGCCACACAAACGAATTTGTTACTAGTATTTGCTCATGACAGAAAACCAGAGAAATCGAAAATCGAAAGAAGTCCACTAAAATTAAAGTAAGAATGAATCACCAGGCACGTAAACTTAGATCTCAGTATGCTTTCATTCATCGTAGACACGCTAATATTAACGTAATATTTACTGGTAGATGTAAAGTGGCGTAACAACAGACGAGCACACGTGTACACAATCCAATACATGCTTTTCTAATTCACTCGGATTGTCCATTGCATCGTGAGGTCTTGTGATTGATATATGCTTATATTTTGCCTGTCCACGTACGTATCTAATCTTGTTAACGGCGGTAAAACAAGAGTCTATCAAATGTCTATCTGCCACACTACGTCTTAGTAGGTAAAGTTATTTAAGGTAACGTAAAATTTCGAAACAGATCTAGGCATGAGGTTGTAGTGACCTTCCTCACCGCGGTCCAACGTCGAACACGATTTTGAGTTGTTGATGTAATCGAACATAACATGGATATTATAAACACGCTGTTAAATGTTTTGGATAGCATTCACTATTACATATCGTTCATTGTTTGCATACTTCTCTGGTATAATTATACACGCTGTGGTAAATTTGAATACTACTGACGTAAGCATGACATAAGCAATTCCAGAGAATTCCTCACAGTACAGGTCATGATTAATCACTATCCCCGAACTGCGGTCTTTGTGTTAATTCAAAGTGCAAAATAAAATTAGAAACACCAGGTATGAATGTGTAGTATAAAAAAAACGCACTCACTTTTGGTAGAAATAAACATCGGGGAGCCACAGGTTGTCTGCTTGTAGCTTGATGTTGTCAATTCCACCGTATTTAGTAGGACTCCATACCATGTACTCATCTATCCATGTCTGCCAACGTAAACATGTTTGAAATCAGACGATATTGTACACATATAATTATGACAGCAAACACGTTACAAAACGTACAGTAGAATCTACTGCCCAGATATGTTACATTTTGGAAACGTCAAGACCTTTATGGGCATGATATATAATGTATGTCAATAATCTGAAAATAAAAATATCAACTTTTAAATTGTCTTTGAATACAAAACGCTTCGATTTAAAGTCTTAATGTCAACACAACGTATTTGAAAACCTTTGCAATTGCGAGTATCATCTCCAACACTCGAATCTGAATACATTGTATTACGATGCTCGCGAGTTTAGCTGATCGAGAGCTGACGTATAGCGCCATTTATTGACTAATTTATTATTTGCCTTCACTACAATAAATCCCGCCATGCATTGCTCCGGCTGCGTGTTATGCACATCTAACCTAGCAAGTTCGATCGAAAGCAGAATAAAAATAATCGTCCTATAAAATCGAAAGTGAGGTACAAAATGGCTTATACAGGAAACAACCCAAGAGTCTGGTGTGCGTCTCAGACTAATCTTCATCTTAATGGAAAATGCTTTACATCGAATATTAGTATTGTAATATAGTCCATATTTGATCTTCGAACACTGAATCCCACATGCGATTCAGAGATCTGATAACACTCTAAAAATACAGAAAACTCAATCTCAGCCGAAGCTACGGAACTGCTCGATGATAGTTGGTTATTGGCAAAGCAGATATTACGCGAATACCGTAGCTGTTGCATTTATTACAGTACACGTAATACTTTACACGTCACTAGTTTCAAACTAAAATTTGATAATACAAATTTGAGTTCGATGTAGCCCCAATGATAACGGACGTCTTCGCGTGCGAGAAAAATATAGAGGGCTACGATCACATTGCAATTAATCGTAGTTCTGACATTTGTTGACGTGTGTTTTATTGTAGTAATTGAGGAATACATCGCTAGTAAGATGGGTCAGTCAGCTGTCCCGCTCCCACGAGAATTGCTTATACGACGTAGTACTATATCAAATAAAAATAATACTATTCGGCCAATTTATAAAATTTTCATTAATTCCCTGAGCATCATAAATAACACATAAAAAACAATAAATCACTGTTAAGACCAGTGTGACGCGGACTTTGATAATTAGACAATTATTTTCCTATGGATGACACGCGTAAACCCTGCGTAAACCCGTCCTTGGTTTATATTAAATTCTCTGTTCTTAATTATCTTAAACTTTCATGATATCTATCATGTTCATTTTGACATTTCAAGGTTTAATATGCCAGCCAGCAAAATGCTTCCACGTATTGTTCGCAGAGAGAGGGATTCTGGTCGGATAGTGACCATACTGGGTATATATAATTTAGTACAAGAAAGCACTGAATTTAATTTGACATACTGGAAGTTGCGTTCAATACTTTTCAATTTGACAACATTAACAGAACGCTGATCTAA